GGGTGTAGTAGGACACGGACTCGTCAAACCGGACGTCACGGGAATCTAGGAACTGGTGGAGGGGAGGGTGGTAAAAGGACCAGTCAGCAGAGTCCACTGGGAAACCAAGGAAGACACAGGGGACGGCGCGTGCCGAGAGCTTGTCCGCGGAGGTGTCGCGAACAAGTGCAAGGCAGCCCCAGACTCGAAAGGCCGACCCAACACCAGGGGATCCAGTCCAGAGACTGGTCGGTGAAGCCTCGGGCCGCGAGACACGCGGCTGGAGGTTCAGCTGGTGTGCGGCGTAGCGAACCGCGTGAGGCCACAGAAAATGGGGCGCACGGGCATGAATCATGGACGTGCGGGCGATGTCCATGACCAAGCCTATGCGGCGCTCAGCAACCCCATTCTGCTGTGGGGACTCTGGCAGCGTCCAGGACTGGGTGATGCCCTGTTCGCCGCAGAATCCGCCGAGAATGCCGGAGCGAAACTCGCCCCCACGGTCGGAGTGAAGACAACTGACTCGACGACCACGAGTGCCCTCAGTGGCTAGAAGCCACCTGATCAGCGTAGCAGTCACCTCGGACTTCTTCGCAAGAGGAAACACTGTGGTGTACCTGGAGAAGTCGTCGACGACCACCAGAAAGTAGCGCTCCCTCCCAGACCCCTGCGTCGGGGCAGGGCCCCAGACGTCCAAGTGGAGAGTCTCGAAGGGAGCGGTGGCCGGACGAAGGGAGGAGGAGTGGGGAGTGGCACGTAAGCGACCGGCGACGCACGGAGAGCAAGGAGGGGCAAGCGAGGGAGGGAGCGACGGGAAGGTGCGTGGGAGACCTGTGACTAGTCCCTGACTGAGCATGCCACGAAGGCGAGGGATCGACGGGTGGCCAAGACGGTGGTGCCACAGGACGGTGCGGTGGGCGAGAGAGCGACAGGAGTAAGACGCAGCGACTGGACTGGACACAGCGACCGGACTGGACACAGCCACCTGACCGGACTCTGCTACCGGGGGGGACGAAGCAACCTGACCAGACGCAGCTACCTGCGGGGGCGGAGTGTGCAGGACGAAGAGACCTGAGTGGGGCTCTCTGGTGAACGTGGCAAGAACTGCCCCAGTGGAAGAGTCCGTACAGATCGCAGTCCTCCCGTGCGCAGGAAAAGTGACTGTGATCCCCCGATCCTGAAGGTATCCAACACCCACCAAGTTCCGAGAGAACGAGGGGATGTAGAGACCAGTGAGGAAACCAGAGGGGACAGCCGGGCACGGGAGGGTGGTCGAGCTACGAGCAACTGCTGGTCCTGAAGTAGGATCAGCCAGGGCAACTGGGACTGGAGCCGAAAGAGGTGTGACAGTGGTGTGGTCGCGGAAGAAACACTGAGACGCGCCGGAGTCCAGCGTGAAGGAGAGCGACGCAACAGCAGTCGTCACGGCTGGGCTAGTGACTACACAAGCACCTACACTAAAAGCACAAGTACCGACACTAGCAACAGGCAAAGGTCCTAAGCTAGGTACACGTAAGCCAAGAGATCCGTACGTGACAGAATAAACAGCATCCATAGACATATCAAACACAGGGAAACCACTACGAAACAGACCGGGCCAGATCGGGGGAGCCGACTCAGGCCCAAAACGCTCACGGTAAAGGTCGTCGAGGCGGCTGTAGCAGCGCTGTGCAGAGTGGTCAGGACGCCAGCAGGTAGTGCCAGCACCAGGGCCGGTCAGGATCCGGTACTGGCAGGGGCCGACGTCGCGGCCACCGGGACGAGCCCCCCAGCTGGCTGGGCCGCTGCTGCAGCCAACGCGACCTGAACCACCAGGCCCCCATGGCTGCTGAGGGCGCCACAGCTGCTGAGGGCGCCCCTGCCGCTGCGGAAGCCACTGCTGAAAAGGCCGCTGCTGCTGTCCCTGCTGCTGGAGAACCCTAGCGGACTCCATGATAAAAGCTAGCGGGGTGCAGGAGCGGCAGGCTAGGAGCGACAGGAGCGACAGGCTGCTGTGAAAAACGAGAACAACTAGGAGCGCAAGGTGAAACCAGGCGAGTAACTGCTGGAGCACGGAGCGAACTAAGCTAGGAGCGCCAGGTGAAACTAGGCGAGGAACGGCTGGAGCACGGAGCAAACTGAGCTAGAAGCGCCAGGTGAAACTAGGCGAGGAACGGCCGGAGCACGGAGCAAACTGAGCTACGAGCGAGGAGCGAGAACGGCTGGAGCGAGAACGGCTGGAGCTAGAAGCGGCGAGCTAGGGCTGGCTGGAGGTAGGAACGGCCGGGGCTAGAGACCGTAAGTGCGGCTGTCGGCTGCCGCTAGTAGAGCCACTGGCAGTGGAAAGTACGTGCGACAGTAGGGGCTGCAGTACTGACGGCTGCGGGATGTAGGCAACTGTGCAGGTCGTCCGGCAAGCAGGAACGCGGGCGACAGTCGCAGGCCCCCACTGTGAACCCCTTTTTTTTTTTTTTTTTTTTTTTTAGGGTTTAATTTATTTATTTATTTTCTCGCACTGAAGCACCCCGGGGCGCGCTGCCTGCAGGGTGTGCTGCCTGCGGGGCGCGCTACCCGCGGGGCGCGCTACCCGCGTGGCGCGCTGCCTGCGGGGATGGGGTGACGAGCCAGGGAGGGCGCCTGGGCGACGGGCTAGGACGGGCGCCTGGGCGACGGGCTAGGACGGGCGCCTGGGCGACGGGCTAGGGCGCAGGCCTGGGCGACGGGCTAGGACGGGCGCCTGGGCGACGGGCTAGGGCGCAGGCCTGGGCGACGGGCTAGGGCGGGCGCCTGGGCGACGGGCTGGGGCGGGCGCCTGGGCGACGGGCTGGGGTGGGCGCCTGGGCGACGGGCTAGGGCGGGCGCCTGGGCGACGGGCTAGGGCGGGCGCCTGGGCGACGGGCTGGGGCGGGCGCCTGGGCGACGGGCAGGGGTGGGCGCCTGGGCGACGGGCTGGGGCGGGCGCCTGGGCGACGGGCTGGGGCGGGCGCCTGGGCGACGGGCTAGGGCGGGCGCCTGGGCGACGGGCTAGGGCGGGCGCCTGGGCGACGGGCTAGGGCGGGCGCCTGGGCGACGGGCTAGGGCGTGGGCCTGGGCGACGGGCTAGGGGCGCAGGCTAGGGGCGCGGAGGGCGCTAACGCGCGGAGGAGGAGGGCGCTAAGGCGCGGAGATGGCGCGGAGGGCGCGGTGGCTAAGGCGCGGAGGGCGCGGAGGGCGCGGAGGGCGCGGAGGGCGCGGAGGGTGCTAGGGCGCAAGGGCGCGGAGGGCGCGGAGGGCGCGGAGTGTGCTAGGGCGCAAGGGCGCGGAGGGCGCTAGGGCGCGAGCTAGGCTAGGCTAGGCGAGAGGATCGACACCTACTCATGATACCATCTCAAAGTTAGCGAACAACGGAATGATTGGAATAGAAACGAATGGGGTACAAATGAGCAACCCTAGAAGCTGTACCCCCTAGAGTGCAACTCACTATAGCCTATCATATCAATGTTCAACATTTGACAGATAGGCTATAGTGAGTTGCACTCTAGGGGGTACAGCTTCTAGGGTTGCTCATTTGTACCCCATTCGTTTCTATTCCAATCATTCCGTTGTTCGCTAACTTTGAGATTCTCTGCCCCTAGATTTCCCGTCCCTCACGTGGTACCGCATTGTTGGTCGAATGTTTCACTGGAAGGGGGAGGGGGAGAGGCGGAACAACAAGCCGGTTGCGCTGATGAGGCCAGATTATGCTGCGCGCGCCATGAAGGAGGAGGACATGAAGATGGATGATCGGATTATGAGGTTCATTCAAACCCTTTGAGCTGAATTTACACAAATAGGAGCTGGCTGAGGCATTGAGGGAGTGGAGTGGGTAGATCGGAGTTGTGCAGGTGTGGTGCATGTGTGATGAGGGTGTGTGCATGGAAGAGCAAAAAAACTGATGTATGCTCTTGGAAGTGATGACAATAAGCCAACAGAGGGTGGAAGAATATGCTTAAAAAAAAAAGGATTTTAAGTCCGAAGTTAGATCGTTTGAATAATAGCTTGCTTTCAGGAGTTCACCAACAGAGTTGGGTTGCGATAAACGGGACACGGATCATCTTGGCTTGGCATAGCGCATAGTGTCGAGCGACACTTCCAATCAATGCAGCCTAGTGGTTCTCGAAAAACCAAAGGTGACAAAAAATGGAAGTGGTCGACAAACTTCGCTGCTATCTGGAACAAGCCAAAGCGGGCGTTCCTGCCGCCCTAGATGCATTACTGGGCAGTGCATGGTGCAGTGCCCTCACGCTCAGTTACGACTGCTTTTGATGTATGCATTGTCCTCATAAATGTATATGTCAATTTTCAAAAAAAAAAAAAAAAAAAAAAAAAACCTAGTGGTTCTCATCAGGAAAGGCGGGAAGGGCAGGAGGGCAGGCATGGCTATCGCGCAAGACCGAGTAGCCATGCCCGCAGGTCTTCTTTCCGGCTAAAGCCATAACAGCTACCTGCACATGCTTCACGCTGCCACTTGTCAATTACCCAAAAGTCTTAGAACCCACCGCCAGCTGTGGAAGGCAAAGCAGAGTCGTTCTTATGGCCGTTCATAGTTTCGATGGATTCATGCTCGTCAGAATCAACGACTCGAGAAGAGAACGAGTCGTTCTCTTCTCGAGGGGGAGTTTCTCAGGCACACCGCGCAGCGACCCTGCGAAATACCCGTGCCTTCATCGCGCCCCTCGTGCACTTCTCTCCTCGCTCGCCGCGCAGCCCCCGCCGCCATGCCACTTTTGCTGCCGCCGTGGCGACGAGCAGACGAGCCTCGTCGTGCCTGACTCTTACTGACGATAAATGTAGGGTTTCTACGATGGCGTGAGCAGGGCAACCGATGTGAGTCTGTGAGATGACCATGAGAGGTTCCGAAACTCGAACTCACGATCAGTGAATCGCCCACCTAAGGCGGACTCGATTTTGATTGACGAAATCGGAATCTATGTTCGTTTCTTGTGACCCTCTCTATTTGATCGTCCGAACGAGTCGTTGTTGTACACCTAGACGAATCCAATCCTTTGGTTCTCACGGCGCTGATGGCTTCTAACCATGGGGGTGCGGCGCTGGAAGAGAGCGTGCGTGCTCTCGATGTCACCGACTCCTCTGATGCAGAGAATTCTCACGAGGTGAGCGTGATGCCGCTGACAGTGCATCTGATCCCTCCCTTTCCTCGCATATCCTCGCCTAGTCCTCTCCCACTCCCGCTGCTTTGTTTCTCCCTCATTCCAAGCACTTCCCTCTTCCCACCCATCAGAGCGTGGACGTGGTTGATCTGCTGCCCGGCCCCATCTGGCACATCATCTTCCGCCACCTGCTGCTACCACCAGGCAGTTCCGCTCACCTACAGAAGCAGGACGATCCTTTGAAGAAACTGTCTTCGCGGGAAGCGCACAGCAGTTTGCGTGACCTGGTTAATCTGCTTACCACAGAAGCGTCTGCTCAGCTGCAGCAGCGACTCTCTCTTAGCGCATTTCAGTGGGAAGAAGGCAGCAGTTCCTCAGCCACAACCAGACCACTTTCCGCCTGTGAGCAGCATGAGGAGAACGCGAGGCGCTTCGGCTCCTCCTGGCCTCTGCTGCGCTGTGCCATGGCCAGCAAGAGACTCTTCGAGCATGTCATCTCCTTCTCTGTGAGTCGTGCGGTTCCTCCCTTGCTTCCCTATTTTTCTACTCCTCACTACTACCCATGCCTACACCAGCCCTTCTCCATTATCGTTTCCTGCTTCCCTCATTCAATCGTACAACCCCCTCTGAAGCAGCTCATTTTATGGCATGCAAACTTAGGTTCAGGTTGCAAAATCCTTACTTTTGCCAAGGTGCTCTGTCATCTGGGAGGTGGGTGCTGAGTTTGTTTCATCTCTGTGTGTGGCTGTGTGAGCAGGAGCTGGAGCCAATCTGCCTCATATTCAACGATCAGGAACCCCAGTGGACAGGAATGCTCTCATGGTTCCTCAGACGGACAGGCCACAAGTCTCTTGACCTCGTTTTTAGTGACTTGACGGACTTGCGGAACCTCGGCCAGCTTATGGCATCCTCTGCTCACTCCGTCACAACTTTGTGCATAGGAGTGAAGGATTCTTCTTCGTATCATTCCAGATCCTTCGAAGACTGCCTGATCTATCCGGGCCTCTTCAAGCAGTTTGGCCAGCTGCAACGGCTTAAGCTATGCCGTGGGAGGTGGCAGCTAGGCAGTGTGGATGCAGCATGGTTCACGGCGCTGAGGAGTCTGACCATCAGTCATGTTGACTGCAGAGATTGGGATTACAACTTCCTGTCTTCCATTACCCCGCAGCTGCATGAATTCTTTCTTTCTTCCTCCAACCGTGACATTTGCAGCCTCAAACTCGGCTTCGCTGTTGCTCGAGTTGTCTCAGTCAGCTTTGAGGGCATGCTGCTTACAGTTGACTTCTCCCTCCCTCCCACTCTCAAGTCGCTTTCTATCTCGGCAGAGGACCTGGAGGTTAACTGCAAGTGCGACAGCCCTCTCTCTCTCGACTCTTTCACTCTCATTGGCCGCTCACAGCTCCTTATCTTTTCACTCCCACCACTAGCCTGCGCAAGAATTGTCATTTTCAATGGACCACACACCCTGTATCATGCCTGCCTGCATCCACTCTCCTTGACCCAGCTACTCCGCATCATAGCGCCAACAGTGGAGACGCTTTTAGTGAGGCATGGCTGGCCAATGGAGGACGTGGATGCAGAGTGGAGCCGCCTGCGCTCTCTTGGGATTGGTGTGGAAGGCTGGAGAGATGGGGTGAGCAGCAGGAGTGAGCTGGAGGCGATAAGGCCTCCTTTCATTCAAGCCCCAAAGCTGAAATCTATTTCCTTTGCGACTCGGCAGTGGCAGCCCAAGACGCTGGTATCTCTGCGCAGGCAGTTTCCGTCCCTGACGCTGTACCGCGTTGTTGGTCGGTCGTTTCACTGGGAGGGGGAGGGTGAGAAGGGAAGCAAGCAGCCAGTGGTACAGCTGAGGCCAGAACATGGTGCACATGCCATGGAGGACATGGAGCAGGATGATCGGATCATGAGGTTCCTTCAATCCCTCTGAGCTGGATGGGTTCTTTGATAAAACGAGAAGGGTAGCTGAGTTAGTGAGTAGATTGAAGTTACAGGTTTGCACCAGATGTGGTGGTGGACTTAGGGGCGATGGGGCAGCAGTGATTGCTAGCAATGGGGGTGACAATGCTGCTGGGTGGGAGGGATGTGTGTGTGGTGTTTGTAGCTGGGCCAACTGATGATGATGATGATGCAGGTGATGAAGCTGCTTCCTCTGGGTATCACGGTGGTGCTGCTCTGCAGGTGCCGCCGCCTCAGTTAATTACACTGATGTAGAGAGCAGATGGTCAGGTAGACTGATGAACAGAAGTGCTGCAGCATGATCAGGATCTGTACTGTCTTAATTCTCTTTGGAATAGGGGGGTTACGGTATTGTGATGGTTTCCCAATGGTCGCCCACGTGTGGCGGGAATTTCTTTCCAGTTTAAGGCCGAACTTATGTTGTCTATCGAGTTAGGAGTTGGTTCAAATTTAGAAACATGCTTGCACGTCCATTTCACGGTAAACAGCAGCTTTGTGTTGGCTAGGATCGAGGCTCCTTTCAGAGGGGATTGATTCCACCCAGGATTTGTGATCTCTCGAGTGCTTCCCTTCTCCAGTCAGCTGGGAAGAAAAGAGCCTAGCCGCTTTGCGAGCCGAAGAGGCATGCATTCGTATTGCACAGAGCTACGGTAGGAAATGGGAGTTAAAGCTCGCGTCTCATATTTACAAACGTTTAACACTTGGTTGGGAAACTACGAACATGATTGGTTCACGAGTGACGAATTTTTTCACGAGCGGAGGAAATATATGGGCGAAGTTGTGAAGAACTGAGGCCAAAACCACACCTCAGGGGCAGGTTTGGATCACGTCCGCACCTTGTAGGACAGGTTTGGCGTGAGTGTACTGTACTTTGTGCGACCAACCCTGACGACGGAAACACCGATTGTGCAAGGGAGAGAAGTGGCAGGGAAAAACGAAGTGCCATCACGCGCACTCCGGCTATACATCCTTACACGTAGTCATAACAATACCACTGCATTAGTAAGCAATCTTCTGTCCAAAGGCGTGAAGAAAGTGAAACATGTAACTGTGGGGAGCAGCAGTAGCGCACCCTCTTGCGTATGCCCGTGATTAGGTTATAGCCGTCACATTCCCGCCACCCTATCGCCGCTTCCCGCCACCCGTCTCCCCTGTTCGCCGCCCAATCTCCCGTGCTCGCCGCCCGATCTCCCCTTCCCGCGGCCCGATCTCCCCTTCCTGCCGCCCGATATCCCCTTCCCGCATCCTCTCGCCTTTCCGCGTAGCCTCCTCTCGCCTCTCCGCGCGGCCTCCTCTCGCCTCTCCGCGCGGCCTCCTCTCGTCTCTCCGCGCGGCCTCCTCTCGCCTCTCCGCGCGGCCTCCTCTCACCTCTCCGCGCGGCCTCCTCTCGCCTCCCCGCGCCGTCTCCTCTCGCCTCCCCGCGCGGCCTCCTCTCGCCTCTCCGCGCGGCCTCCTCTCGCCTCCTCTCGCCACTCCGCGCGGCCTCCTCTCGCCTCTCCGCGCGGCCTCCTCTCGCCTCTCCGCGCGGCCTCCTCTCGCCTCCCCGCGCGGCCTCCTCTCGCCTCTCCGCGCGGCCTCCTCTCCCCTCCCTTTGCCCTCGCTACCCCCTCCCATCGCCATCGCTTCCCCCTCCCGTCGCCCTCGCTTCCCCCTCCCATCGCCCTCGCTTCCCCCTCCCATCGCCCTCGCTTCCCCCTCCCATCGCCCTCGCTTCCCCCTCCCATCGCCCTCGCTTCCCCCTCCCATCGCCCTCGCTTCCCCCTCCCGTCGCCCTCGCTTCCCCCTCCCTTTGCCCTCGCTTCCCCCTCCCATCGCCATCGCTTCCCCCTCCCATCGCCCTTGCTTCCCCCTCCCGTCGCCCTTGCTTCCCCCTCCCGTCGCCCTCGCTTCCCCCGCCCATCGCTAGTCCACTTGCGCCATCTGTCAGCGTGGGGCAGCAGCACCACCAACGCCTCCTCCTCTCACCTCCTTGCCTTCCTCTTCCCCCTCTCCCCCCCAAACCCCCACCCACTCTTCCCCTGCAGTTGCTGGTTCACTTGCGCCATCTGTCAGTGTGGGGCAGCAGCATCACCAACGCCTCTGCGCCGCTGCTCCCTTTCCCCCACTCCCACCATCCTCTTTCCACCCCCGCCTCTCCCCCTTCCCCTGCAGTCGCTCGTTCACTTGCGCCATCTGTCAGTGTGGGGCAGCAGCATCACCAGCGCCTCTGCCTCGCTGCTCCTCGCCTTCCCCCGCCTGCTCTCCGCCAACCTCGCCTGGACTGCCCTCTCCCACCTCCCCGCCCACCCCTCCCTCACCGCCCTCCACCTCTCCCACTGCCCCCTGCTTTCCATTGGCTTCCCTCTCCCCTCCTCCTCATCCTCTCCCTCCGCCTCCTCTCCTTCCTCCTCTCACTCCTCCTCCTCTTCCTCCTTCCCCCTCACTCATCTGGTTCTCTCTGGTGCCTCAATCGCTCCTCCCTCCTCCCTCTTCCCTCCTCACCTCCTCGCCTTCCTCACTCACCTCACCTCGACCCCTCTACTGCTGCTGTCCCTGACGCCCTTCTGTTACACCTCGCCCACTCCCTTCCCCACACGGTACGTTAGCTCCTCACCACTCTCCCTCACACACCTTGATCTCTCTGGCTGACTCTGTTTCCCCTGCTCATTCTCTTCCCCTCGGCTCACTCTGTTTGGCCTGCTCATTCTCTTTCCCCCGGCTCACTCTGTTTGGCCTGCTCATTCTCTTCCCCCCGGCTCACTCTGTTTCCCCTGCTCATTCTCTTCCCCCCGGCTCACTCTGTTTCCCCTGCTCCTTCACTTCCCCCCGGCTCGCTTTGTTTCTTCCTGTTCACTCTAATTTCCGCTACTCAGTCTGTTCCCCCTTTCACTCACCCCCATTTCCAGCCGCGCAGGGTACAGGTCCCAGCACCATGGCCCAGGGTTTATTGCATGCAGTGTAGCAGCCAAGAGTGGCCCAAAAACATTACATTTCTAGCTGTCTTCTTGGTGACATTAGTCAGTTGCCAAGTACTTCCTTTGTAGTGGTCATGTGCATGGCTGCTTCTGAGCAAAGTGTTTGTATTATAACAAAGCATCCAACATCAATATACGGCATGGCCAATCATTGTAGCACTCTCAAACAGTCAACACATCACCACAACCAGATGCATAGCAGACATGTATACAAACACAAACCAGGAAATAAGATGTGACATGGCTGTGCAGCAGGGAAGTATACAAGATAATGAGAAGGACAAGCAGCCAACACGGGAAATGATAACGCAAGGTCCCTCGATTTATGCATACAGTTGAAGAGGAACAGAAGAAGGGATGAAAAGAGGAAGGGTGGAAAAGAGGGAGGAACTGATGAAGGGAGGAACGGCGGGGGAGAAGAACACGACAGCACTCACCAGCACAGCACTCACCAGCACTGCACTCACCAGCACAGCACTCACCAGCACTGCACTCACCAGCACAGCACTCACCAGCACAGCACTCACCAGCACTGCACTCACCAGCACTGCACTCACCAGCACTGCACTCACCAGCACAGCACTCACCAGCACTGCACTCACCAGCACTGCACTCACCAGCACTGCACTCACCAGCACAGCACTCACCAGCACAGCACTCACCAGCACTGCACTCACCAGCACTGCACTCACCAGCACTGCACTCACCAGCACTGCACTCACCAGCACTGCACTCACCAGCACTGCACTCACCAGCACAGCACTCACCAGCACTGCACTCACCAGCACTGCACTCACCAGCACAGCACTCACCAGCACTGCACTCACCAGCACTGCACTCACCAGCACAGCACTCACCAGCACTGCACTCACCAGCACTGCACTCACCAGCACAGCACTCACCAGCACTGCACTCACCAGCACTGCACTCACCAGCACTGCACTCACCAGCACTGCACTCACCAGCACAGCACTCACCAGCACAGCACTCACCAGCACTGCACTCACCAGCACTGCACTCACCAGCACTGCACTCACCAGCACAGCACTCACCAGCACTGCACTCACCAGCACTGCACTCACCAGCACAGCACTCACCAGCACTGCACTCACCAGCACTGCAGGGTGGGTGAGTGAGCAGGGAGTGTGAGTGAGCAGGGTGTGTGAGTGAGAAGGGTGACAACTACAGCATTGACTATGGCAATCCCCCCTGTTGGCGCCCACTGCTGCTTCTGTGTCGGAGGTGTGTGGTATGCCACCACTTCCTTGAAGGCTGCTGCTGCCGCCCACAGAGGGCCAGAACAAGGGGGAAAACGGAGGGAAGGAGAAGGGGAAAGGGAGGGAGGGAGAAGGGTGTGAGAGAGGGACGGGTGTGAGAGAGGGATGGGTGTGAGAGAGGGACGGGTGTGAGAGAGGGACGGGTGTGAGAGAAGGACGGAAGTGAGAGAGGGACGGGATTGATTGAGGGAGCGAGAAAGCGCGGTGGCATCGTTCTCGCGTGAGGAGGGTGCGAGAGCAACGGGTGAGAATGCGGGACGACAGTGACTGCGGAACGGGTGGGATAGCTGCGTGCTACGAGGTGAGCGAGGAACGGAGCAGCGAGGAGAGGAACGGAGCAGCGAGGAGAGGAACGGAGCAGCGAGGAGAGGAACGGAGCAGCGAGGAAAGGAACGGAGCAGCGAGGAGAGGAACGGAGCAGCGAGGAGAGGAACGGAGCAGCGAGGAGAGGAACGGAGCAGCGAGGAAAGGAACGGAGCAGCGAGGAGAGGAACGGAGCAGCGAGGAGAGGAACGGAGCAGCGAGGAAAGGAACGGAGCAGCGAGGAGAGGAACGGAGCAGCGAGGAAAGGAACGGAGCAGCGAGGAGAGGAACGGGGCAGCGAGGAAAGGAACGGAGCAGCGAGGAAAGGAACGGAGCAGCGAGGAAAGGAACGGAGCAGCGAGGAGAGGAACGGAGCAGCGAGGAGAGGAACGGAGCAGCGAGGAGAGGAACGGAGCAGCGAGGAGAGGAACGGAGCAGCGAGGAGAGGAACGGAGCAGCGAGGAGAGGAACGGAGCAGCGAGGAGAGGAACGGAGCAGCGAGGAGAGGAACGGAGCAGCGAGGAGAGGAACGGAGCAGCGAGGAGAGGGGAAGGAGAGGGGGAACTGATGCGGAGCAGAAGGGGAAAGTATGGAAAGCACTGGGGGCATTCATGGGGAGCAAAAGGGGAAAATTTGGGGAGCAAAAGGCATTCTTGGGGAGCAAAAGGGCATTCATGGGGAGCAAAAGGGGTAAATTTGGGGAGCAAAAGGCATTCTTGGGGAGCAAAAGGGCATTCATGGGGAGCAAAAGGCATTCTTCCCCCTCCCTGCTCACCTACCTCCCCCTTATCACAGCACCTCCCTTCCCCCTCTCATCTCACCTCCCAACCACCTCTGACCTCACCTCCCTTTCCACTCCCTAAGCACCTCTCTTCCCCATCTCACATCACTTATTTCCCCCCTGCTAGCACCTCCATCCCCCCTAACTAAGAACCTCTCTTCCTCCTCCGAACTCACACACCTTTCCAACTCCCCTCACCTACCTTCACCGTCTGAGCTCTCCTCTCTTCCCCCTCCATAAGCACATTTTTTCCCCCTCTCACATCACATCCGTTTCCCTTATCTCAACACATCCCCCCCCCCCCCCTCTGAACTCACCTCCCTTCCCCCTCCCACAACACACACACCCTATCATGGCACCTCCATTCCCCCGTCTGACCTCACATCCCTCCCCCATTCCCTCTCATTCCGCCATTTTCCATCATTTCGCCTCTCATTCCGCCATTTTCCACCATTGCGCCTCTCATTCCGCCATTTACCACCATTTCGCCTCTTATTCCGCCATCTACCACCATTCCGCCTCCCCGCCAACTTCCACCATTCCGCGTCTCATTCCGCCCATCATTTCGCCTCTCTAACCGCCATCTAACGCCATTCCGCCACTAATTCCGCCATCTACCGCCATTCCGCCACTAATTCCGCCATCTACCGCCATTCCGCCAATAATTCCGCCATCCACCGCCATTCCGCCACTAATTCCGCCATCTACCGCCATTCCGCCAAAAATTCCGCCATCCACCGCCATTCCGCCACTAATTCCGCCATATACCACCATTCCGCCACTAATTCCGCATGGAATAAAACCGCAAATCCGTCGAGCTCACCTACTAAAGGCAGGGGAGGAGTGCGAGGCAACCCGGAATGGGGTATCACGATGCAGAATGTAAACGAAGTGATGTGGAGCGGGACTCAAAGAAGTGGGTTGTCTAAGTGCATAATGAGGTTCTTGGTGAATGACCTATGAGGACTTCTCTGTGATAGTATACGCTAGGACACGCGATAGTAAAGCGTAAAACACTTGAACGGGTGCAGGAACTACGCTCCTTGTGAGAATGGTAGAGTTGGGTGTCTCATATTTCCGACCCCTGTAAAATGCTTGGTCTGCACACGGGAGAGTGCGACACTCTGTTGTCGCAGCCTGTGGTTTCGTCGCGCAGGTGTGTCTCCCAGCCTGGTTTGGCGAAACCATACACTGAGTCACACCACGTTGTTTGTACTGTACATTTGGTTTGCGGGGCCGACCCACACCCAACCAACCTTCCCAAACCTAACCCTTGCTTGGGGGTGTTATGCGACAAAACAGGCTGTTACCGGATCCCAAGCGTTTAACACTTGGTTGGAACGAAAAAATATGAGACGCGAGCTTTAAGCCATCCAAGTTGGCACGGTTAGTATGTCGACACGTGGAGTGGAGTTGCTGCTTGGCGGAAACCACTGGTGGATGTCGAAGCATGGGCAATGGAATAGTCGCTGGCACCACTAGTCATAAATCCACCGTCGCCATAGAAATCAAGCATGCCGGGCTAATTGCTCGCCACTTATCGTTGAGAAGTATTGGCTAATTACTTTTCATGATTGGAGCTGTCAATCTCAACTGGACGTTGGCGGATTCAACCCCACCATTTTCGTCAGCGATTGCGATTGCGTAGTAACCTGTCGCCGGCTAATTCTTGCTCTCAAGCTAACAGCAGCCTCTGACGCTGAGCTAGTAACGGCATCAATCGGACATCATGGTGAGATTTATGCCGCAGCTCCGTGTTTCTTCGCTTTCTGTCTGACGCAGTGAGATAGTCCACTTCTCCTTTCACTATTTTTCTTTTCGCACCACCTCATCTTATTATCCGCCTTCACTTACTCGCATTTCCACTACTTAATTTCCCACCCACCAGAGCCAGGACGTGGTTGATCTGCTGCCCGGCCCCATCTGGCACATCATCTTCCGCCACCTGCTGCTGCCAACGGACTATCCCGCTCCGCTACTCAACCTACGCGAATTCTCTAACTGTTTCGATCGGGAAGAACTGTTTGATTTGTCTGACCCAACACAGGCGGAAGAAGCAATCAGATTGTTCTTCTTTAGAATGTATCCTGACCGGGAGACGCATGAGGAGAACACAAGGCGCTACGGCTCTTCCTGGCCACTGCTGCGCTGTGCCATGGTTAGCAAGAGGCTCCTCCACCATGTCATCTCCTTCTCCGTGAGTCATGCACAGCGCTGGTTCCTCATGCAATATTCTACGCGTCGTTCCGCTCTGGATGCTGAATTGCCCGGTCACAGCTAAGGCCATCTGGCATCTGTGCGTGCAGGAGCTGG